ATTTATTTTCACTAATTAATTAGTTTACAGAAGATACCGCTTAGATATTATACCTGTAAATACTGAATTGCTGAGAACAAGTAAACGCCTTATCTTAAAACCCAGAAAAAAATAAAATAAACAGCTATATCAATAGATTAAAAAAAACCTTTTCAGATAGACGTGCTGGTGTATGCCTGTAATCGCAGCACTTTGGGAGGCCGAGGCAGGAGGATCCCAAGTTCCAGCCCAGCCTGGACAATTTAGTGAGCCTCTGTTCCGAATTTAAAAATAGAAAGGGGCAGGGGCTGGGCATACAGCACGTGTGAAGGGCCTGGGTTCAATCCCAGTACTAGGGGAGAGGAAAATCTTCCAGTTTCTCCATGTATCAGGATTTGGGGGTACCCACAGCTGACCCCAAGCCTGAATGAATGTGGCCGGCCTGGATTCGCGGTTCTCGAAGCCTGCTCCAGCTGATGAAGCCATCTTTCAGCTCTGGGCAACCTGAAAGTTCGGCCGACAGCCCCTTCCCTGCAAGCTTCACCTGAGCCCTGGCATTTCGTAATTGCCATGTGTTGCTTGCTCAGGATTAAGACACATTCTGTTCTGTACGCAAAAGGGTTGCCGGAGACACGGCTGAGGTTATGCACAGGGTTTATTAAAGCCTCAGGAAGGCCTCAGCCCCTGACAGGAAGTCTTGACCAGGAGAGGGCGCTGTGGCCCCGGCCGCGGGGAGAGGAGCGGGATGTGCCCGACGTGACCGCTAGATGGCGCCTCGCAATAACGAATGGCCCGGACGCTCCTGAGAGCGCGGCCCGGCTCCGCAGCCTCTGCTCCGCAAGCCCAGCCAGACCCCGCCAGCGCAGAAATACGGAAACTGTTCATTCCAGCTAAAACTACCCCAGCCGCCTGTGAAAAGCCACGCCTGGCGCTGTCACGTCAGCACCCGATGCAGGTTAATAACCGGCCCCGGAGCAAATGGTTTCTTTTCATAATCACTGTGTCCCCACCCCGGCTGCCTGCTGGCCCTGCCCTCCCCGCCCCCC